TATAAAGTACAAACTAATGCAACTTGGAGGGTCCTTTTTTCTTTTATTTATTTATTAAATAGTGTAGCCCTTTTAAATATAGTGTATTTAAATAGTATAGCCGTGCGGCTGTACTATGTTTTTTTTAAACCAGTATAGCCGGTCGGCTATACTGTTTTGGGACACGTGGCTCCTATTCGCGTATAGCCGCACGGCTAGACTCTTAAAAAGTAAGAGTACAGCCGCCCGGCTATATGCAGTTTGTAATTTTTTTCTTCTTATTTTTATAAAAAGGTAGGCTACACCCTTTAAGTAGCATAATATGTATTTCACTTTTTTAATTACTTTGATTAGTAATTAAGTAAACCCTTTAGTGATTATTTACTTAGTGAATATTAAGGAAAAAAAGAAAAAGAACAATTGAATTACTATTTATTAAGTAATATAATTCATGAAGTTGATTAGAGTATTTAATCATAATTAGTCATTAAATAAATAATAATTAAAATATAATTGCTAATTTAAATAATTAATCAGGCAAATATATTATGTGGTAACTAAAAATAATTTTTTTTAAAAATTAATTAACCTAAACATCCTAAGTTTATATTAATTTTTTTAAATAAGACCTTTCCCGACGAAATTTCATTGGCACAGGTATTTTCATCGGGGAAAACCTAATCCGGCAAATTACGAAAATTCATCGGGAGAAGTGTTCATGTTTTTATTTATTTATTTATAATAATTTTTTTTTATAATTTTTATAATTTTTGAATGTTTAATTTTAAAAATATAAAATTAGTTTATTTACTTTTTCTTTTGGCCAACTTCCTTAATTTAATATATGTAATTAAGTAATATCTTATCCTTTTTGAATTACTTTAATAGTTGTATTGTACATGTTCGTACGTATTTCTAATGCTTAATCCACATACTTTTTACAAAATTTTCATTAAGACACAAAAAGTTCACGTATTATACAAATAATTCTCACATATTATTGAATCAAGCAAGTCAGTCACTTCGAGAGGAAAAGGAGATGAATTTTCGAAGATGGTACGGTTTAAACTACCATGAATATATCACGTCTTCGAATGCTGAAGAGTGCATGATACAATGCCTAAATAATTGTTCTTGCTTGGCTTATGCATATGTTAATAATATAGGGTGTTTGGCCTGGTCCAAAGACCTTATATACAGGAGTTTTCCTCCGGCGGAGTCGATCATCTTATTCTCCTAGACAGTACAGAAATAGGTAAATGATGATAATATTGCTTTCATAGCTTTAAGTATAAATATCTTTTCTTTTTCTGTCTCACACAGTTTGCATTACAAATTCATTTTATCTGATGAAGGAAATCAAACCAAGTTAATTGTCAGCCTGATCACAGCTACTGGTTTAGTATCTTGGGTGCCATGGTGTTTGGTTTGCACAGATTGCGAGCTAACCAAAAGGGATGCAATTCATTTGTGTAAGCTAACAAAGAAATTTTGAAGGTTTTATCTGACTCAGTATTTGATTGTTATATTTGCCAAATCAGGAAAAGTCAAAGTAACAACAAAGTTCTTTAAATTGACATGATACTACTGAGACTTCAAGAGAGTCTTCAGGGATATATTAGAAACCAAGATCCGTCGGAGCTATTCATCTATAATTTTGACAGCATATTAGTCGCTCCGAACAATTTCAGTATCACAAACAAACTCAGGGAAGGGGGCGGATTTGGTCCAGTTTACAAGGTGAAATTTTATTTTGCCTTTTCTCTTTCTAAAGGAAAAAATTGTATTACAACAGCTACAATTCTATACAACTACAAGATGAGGACAGCAGGAGGTTGTTTACTTAGATCAAGTCCAGGCCTGTCAGGTCGGGTAACTCCTGCAGAACCTAAGTGTACGAACCTACACGGAACACAGGCAAAGAGATTCTTTAAAGACTAAAACAGAAAGCGCACCTAGCAGATCAATTATGTTAATAATGAGAGCTTAAATGTCCGTTCCACAAAAGTAGGATTCAGTTTCCCATCAAATTCAAACTTGCTAAACATGAGCTGCCTTCAGTTTGAAAAGTCGCTAGGCAGTAGGCTTAAAGAACAAAAGAAAAGAACGAGAACCACCCTGGCACCCACACCCTAAACCTTAAAGAACCAGACCCACCCTGGCACCCAGACCCACCTAACGCCGCCTAGAACCGCCTAGACCCGCCTAGCGATGTCTAGACCCGCCTAGCGCCTTCTAGACCAGCGTAGCGTCTCCTAGACCCGCCTAGCGCCTCCTAGACTCGCCTAGTGCCGCCCAGACCCGCCTAGCGCCGCCCAGACCAGCCCAGGCCGCCTAGGCCGATTTTTCGTAATGCAGAGTATGGATTGGAAGGAATGGTTTCAACAAGAGGGGATGCGTACAGTTTTGGAATTGTAGTGATGGAAACATTCCCAAGAAGGAAGCCAACTGATGAGATGTTTGTTGGGGAAATGAATTATAAGCAATGGATTACAAACTCACTATTACCAGATGCAATGATAGAAAAAGTTGTGGTTGCCAATTTGCTTGGGATTGGGACAGAGCAGGAAGATGATGATCAATGTGTGTTGCCAAGGCTGAGTACGAAGAGCTTGGATCTGCTCAATGTCGTAGGAGATTCTTTTAATCTGGGACTACAAATTGAAGTTATTAAAAAAGAGAAATCCAGATTACGATGTTCAATGGGTATATCCGAGTGGCTATAACTTAGAATTTTTTTTTTTACACATTATAGCCGCACGGCTATACGTAATACTTGAAAAAATCTATTTATGCAGTATAGCCGCGCGGCTATACTGTTAGAAAATTCTACGCATAATGGACTCTAGCAGCCCGTCGATACTGTGGAAACATTTTATTTATAGGGTACAGCCGAGCAGCTATACTGTTTAAAAAAATTCTATTTCTAGCGTATAGCCGCCCGGCTGTACTCTTTTTACAAAACACTCTCTCAACGCTAGGCGGATCCTTTTTATCTTTTGTAAAAAGTATAGCCACCTGTGGGTTGTTGACCTCGTAACCCTTGGGGCAGATAAAATATTTGCTTCTCTTCATATGCTGGATGTAGTTCATTTTGATTGCAACACTAGGAGGCATTGGACCAAAGATCTTCATATTAGGGTCTTTGTCCTTCCAGTGCTCTAGCAGAATTGGACGTAAATAGCCATGCACATTTCCAACATAAAAGGCAAGAATCTGCCTCTCAGAAGGGGGTTTGCCTCCAAGATCTCAAAGAGGATTTCTCGCAGAAGGAACATAAAGGTATACAATAGAGAAAAATCATACTTGAAACAAATTTATTTTCATAATCTCAATCAGTTATAGTCTTACACTCCTTTTAATCTCAACTCACCTATGAAGCGGATACAGATACGGCAATACAATACGAAAGGCAATACGGAAAATATCTAAAAACTAGGATATGATACGGTAATTAAAAATATATATTAAAATTTTAATATATAGTTATCAAAATATTTATAACATAAAAATAAGATAAAGATACAGTAGTAGAAGAAGTGTTGGAGTATGATATCGTGCAAAGTAGACCTACGGCTGGCAAACTCTTCGAATTTTTCAACCAGCAACAACTAAAGCTTATCTCTTCTTTATTTTCCCTCTTAAAACCTCTAAAACGATAAACGAGTATCCGACTCGTGTCCGGAATATCGGATACACGTGTCCGTGCATCAGTTAATCTCAACTGACCCAATTAATGGAAACAAACTAAAGAAAAAACCTAATTAAGAATCAGGGGTATGGGAAAAAACAGCAAAGAAGAATATAGTAACCATCACTGATCACAGCATTCAGAAGAAAAGGACCCCCACAAATGACATAATGCAGGACGTGAGAGTTGCAGAAGAGATGGTGGCCATTGCAACTGCAGCATCATTCTTCTGCTCGTTCTGGTCAGCAGATTGTGGTGGGCTTGCCGGTTCCAAGACCTTGATGATCATCTTCTGGCCTCTCTCGCAGTGCCCGGAAACCCCACTAATGAAATAGAACAAACCAGGCCGGTCCAATGTGAACACGGTCACACCATTGTTGGAGAAGAAGATGGGATGAGCAGAATGGCATTTTTCGTTCTCGTCCTTGGTCACCACCATCACCGAGTCTTTGGTAGTTGAAATCTAAGTCCATGAAAAACAATATCTATAAAAATAAAACATAAATAAAAGAGTCCCGCCTAGGCAGCCGCCTAGCGCCTAGCTCCTCGGCACCCACCGCCTAGGCCGATTTTCCGAAAATGACAATCTAGTAGCTCAGGGCAAGGCATCGAAGAGTTGAAGAATGAGTACATGAAAAACAACATATATAAAAAAAAAGACCCGCCTAGGCTGCCGCCTAGCTCCTGGGCGCCCACCGCCTAGGCCGATTTTTCGAAAATGACTATCTTGCAGTAGCTCAGGGCAAGGCATCGAAGAGTTGAAGATTGAGATTCTGTTGATCTCCAAACTCCAACACAAGAATCTTGTAAAGCTCAACAAAAGCTTGGATATGATATCGATATTATTGGGTTAGTTTCACTGGCCCTTTATGTTTGGCCAAGTTTCTCATTGTCACCTAATCTTTCTTCAGTATCATTGATAATGTCTGAGTTCTTCCTATCCTAGTATGCCGAACTCAGGGGGACTATTGATTTCATTTCTAATGGCAATGGGTGTATTGATTAGATCCAATGAGAAGAGCAGTGTTTGATTGGGCTAAACGCTTCAATATTATTCAAGGTGTAGTTGCTAGAGGACTTGTTTATCTCCACCATGATTCCTGTTTGAAGGTAAGTAATGTTCTGTTGGATGAGAAGGATGAGTCCAAAATTTTCAGATTTTGGATTGGCACGTATCTTTCAGATAATGTGCAGCAGATCAAAAAAGCATAACAGGCCTTGCCTTTTCTCATGTTCTTAATGTGCTTGTATCGTCGGGCTCTGATTCCCAGGTATGAATGTGCGAGTCTATATCTGTGCATGTCACTGTGCCTTTTTAAGGCTATAAGCAATGAACTAGTGACTAACAGAAGTAACTTATCACAAGTAGCCAAGCCAAAACGGATCAATGTAGTATTCAGATAGTTTATTTATAGTACTTCAACTTCATAGAAATGGAAACTGATTCCCTGGTTACATTTGACGATTCACATGGAAATCATTTCATTTATCCGCAAGTGGAGAATGCTTTTCTAAAATGAATTTCTCTAGAATTGCATGTGGTTTACTTAGTCACTTAGGTGTTGCTTGCCTCAGGCCTTTACAAAAAGCTGTTGGTTTTAGACTCTCTTGCTTTTAACCAATATAGTCTTTCTGTTTCTGTCCTTGAACTTCATGCAAGAGAAGCTTCAATAGTTTGACTAGGTGTTGGTACTAATCACACATATATAAATTGCCTATGTGATTGTAGAAATGTGATGGTGGAGACGAGGATGATGGTGGTAAGACTGCTACTATAGGTGATTAGCCCAAGCAATGAGCACAAAAGGCTGATGGTGGTGGTGAGCAAGTTAAAGTTCTAAAAATATTTTTTCTATTTTTTCATTTTTTTTTTAATGTTTGTGTTATGTTGATGTTTCCAGGTCTGAACTTGAGTCACACAAGAAGGCCAAGCATAGTGTTGAGGGTGATACCTTAATTTTGTGAAGGTTTTGGTGGTGATCGGTTGTGGTTTTATATGTTTAAACCTCAGTTTTTCTATTTCTTTAACTTTGATTAATAATTTACTTTAAGAACACTACTTTTAACTGTTTCTTTATTGTCAGCCACTTTGATTTACCACTTTTAAATTCCAAAATGAATCTCGGGCAGTAATTGGGTCAAATTACTCTTGGTTATTTACATTGAACTTGTATACTTAATGCCGGAATACTTGCTCTATTGGTCGTGAGCCTTGATTGCTATGGCTAATGTCTTAATGAAAAATTGACCTGCAATAACCCTCATAGCTAGTCATAGTCCAATTTCCTGTAAGCTTCTACAATCTGCCTGTAGTGTACAGAAAGTGCTTGCTCTATGAACCCTTCTTAGTTTTATAAGCCGCAGCATTGGAATTTCCTTCTTGATGATTTGATATAAAACTGTGACATTGATCTCCATCTTCACTTTTATCTCCATCTTCACAGAAATGGTTACAAGCCATGATTCTGCCAATGTCTTTAACTTAACATTCAAGGCCAAACATACGCACAATAATTTATGTATGTATATTTTTAAAATCATTAAAAACGTAACATTATATAAGCTACTCATACGTAGAAAAGAAAATAATATTATACAGCTGAATTGAAAAAAAAAATACAAACCTCTATACATAATCAGGAGGTTTGGACCTCATTGTGATCAAGGCTATAGCCTTTTGAAAGTGAGAACCTATCATCTCAGGTGAAATTTTTTAAGTCATGTAGATTTGTCGTACAGAACTTTATAATCTTGGTCGCTTATGCATGTTCCTGTAGAAGCCTCTGCTTTTCATCTGCTACGAGTATATACAGAGAGAGAGAGAGAGAGAGAGAGAGAGAGAGAGAGAATTAATATATATATACATATGTTGACAGATTTTTTTCTCATTAGTCATTGACTCATTGCTGAGAGAATTATCTCAAATGAAAATGGAAGTATATTAAGCACCATTATACTTACAGAGTTAAGGTTAAAATTAGAGCTCTATGCATGCAAAACATTACACTGGTACAGGATCTTGTTCGAGGATTTCCTTTCCAGTATTTCCATCTTTCAAAGTTTTAAAGTAAACATTGTAGTCCTTCTCGGGGGGGTGGATATTGAGGGTCCACTGTAAATGGCTCACTAAATGGCACAACACTTTTAACCTGCAAATGAGTTTATAAGCATCTCAGAATCTGCAAAAGCTTTTAACTTCCAAAAATAGCAAATTACAGCCATAGCACACAACACACAATTAAGGGACATAAGTCGGGCCGTGACCTCAAATGTCTTGCCAGATGCATAGGGGCTTTCCAACGCAGCAACACAAATCTGAGCAACCTCCTCTCTTGATATCTTATCCTGCATACATATAAATACTATAAATCATAACATTCAGATATTATTACTATTATAAGGGAAAGAAAGAGCAATACATGTCATCACATGCATACAACAAAGAGAGAACAGTGATCTTCTATTTGATTATATAGTGTTATGTTGTCTCCTCGGTAAAAAATGAGACTGCTCCGGCAGGCTCCTCAGTTAATGCACAAGGCCTCACAATTGTATATGGTATTCCAGTTTCCCGTGCTAAATCCTCCCCCTGCTCCAAAACTTATCAATGTACAAAATCGAAAGAGCTAAATCTGACCCAGAAAAAGAAAAAGAACAGAAAAGAGCTAAGAAGTGGTATTTTGATACACTGATTATGTATAAAAATATCAAACAGCTTGCACTGAATTAGTATGAAACCTTCAACTTGAATGTCAGTATAAAATCCAATTCCTTGTTTAAGCGAACAACAGGAGGTTGTTTATTTAGATCAAGTCCAGGCCTGTCAGGTCGGGTAACTCCTGCAAAACCTAAGTGGACGAACCTACACGCAACACAAGCAAAGAGATTCTTTAAAGACTAAAACAGAAAGTGCACCTAGCAACTCAATTATGTTTAGTCAGAAGAAGATAATCCAACAAAATGCAAAGAATGTGAAACCTGGGAGTAATAGGCTCTTTTAGATATGCTCGTATGCTTGATAATGGGAGCTTAAATGTCCGTTCCACAAAAGTAGGATTCAGTTTCCCATCAAATTCAAACTTGCTAAACATGAGCTGCCATAAGTTTGAAAAATCGCTAGGCAGTGGGCTTAAAGAACAAAAGAAAAGAACCAGAACCACCCTGGCACCCAGACCCTAAACCCTAAAGAACCAGACCCACCCTGGCACCCAGACCCACCTAGCGCCGCCTAGAACCGCCTAGCGCCGCCTAGACCCGCCTAGACCCGCCTAGCGATGTCTAGACCTGCCTAGCGCCTCCTAGACCAGCGTAGCGTCTCCTAGACCCGCCTAGCGCCTCCTAGACTCGCCTAGTGTAGCCCAAACCCGCATAGCGCCTCCTAGATTGGCCTAGTGCCGCCCAGACCCGCCCAGGCAGCCTAGGCGGATTTTTTGTAATGCAGAGTACGGATTGGAAGGAATGGTTTCAACAAGAGGGGATGTGTACAGTTTTGGAATTGTAGTGATGGAAACAATCCCAAGAAGGAAGCCAACAGATGAGATGTTTGTTGGGGAAATGAATTCTAAGCAATGGATTGCAAACTCACTATTACCAGATGCAATGATAGATGATGTTGTGGATGCCAATTTGCTTGGGATTGGGACAGAGTAGGAAGATGATGATCAATGTGTGTCGCCAAGGCTGAGTACGAAGAGCTTGGATCTGCTCGATGTCGTAGGAGACTCTTCTTTTAATCTGGGACTACGAATTAAAGTCATTAAAAAAGAGAAATTCAGATTATGATGTTTAATGGGTATAGCCGACCGGCTATAACTTTGGAAATTCTTTTTACAACTTATCGCCGCGCGGCTATACTGTTGAAATTTATGGAGTATAGTCGGGCGGCTAAACTGTTGGAAAATTTAATTTATGGAGTATAGCCGCCTGCCGATACTGTGGAAACATTTTATTTGTAGGGTACAGCCGAGCAGCTATACTGTTAAAAAAAAATTCTATTTCTAGCGTATAGCCGCTTGGCTGTACTCATTTCACCAAAAAAACGCTCTTAGCGCTTGGCGGCTGCTTTTTATCTTTTATAAAGAGTATAGCCACCTGTGGGCTGTTGACCTCGTAACCCATGGGGCAGATACAGTATTTGCTTATCTTCATGTGCTGGATATAGTTCATTTTGATTGCAACACTAGGAGGCATTGGACCAAAGATCTTCATATCAGAGTCTTTGTCCTTCCAGTGCTCCAGCAGAATTGGACGTAAATAGCCATGCACATTTCCAACAGAAAAGGCAAGAATCTGCCTCTCAGAAGGGAGTTTGCCCCCAAGAGTATTTTTCAAAATCGTATAGCCGCGCGGCTATACTCTGGTATTTTTTTATTTATTAAAAAATCGTATAGCTGCTCGGCCTTACTACGGTAATTGTTGTTGTTTTTTTTTTTTAATGTATAGCCGTCTGGCTATACATGTTTTGACACGTGGACACTCGCTAGGCGGGTCCCATTTTCCCCCTTAGTATCGCCGGACGGCTATAATCAGGTTTTTTTATTATAAAAATTCGTATAGCCGCACACATGGACCACTAGGCGCTAGGTGGGTCCCTTTTTTTATATTTATAAATAATATAGCCGCGTTGCTATACTCCGGTTTTTTTTTTCTAAATAGTATAGCCGCTCGGCTTTACTCGGGTTTTTATTATTATTTAATTTAGAAATATATAGTATAGCCGAACGGCTATACGCTTAACGGCTTAAGGGTGTATCCTCTCGCTGTTACGGCACATCCATCTGAACCCAATTAGTTTGCATAAGGACTTACAAATGGAGGAGTGCATGTGCTTAAGCCATTAGAATCATAAGGAAGATGGGGCACTTCCCCTCCGATTGAGAATGGTGATGGGCCGAGCACCACTTTTGGAGCAGCGTCCAGATCAACCCCAAAGGTGACATTTCCATGTGCATGACTCCCAATGAAATGAGGATCTTGAGTATATCTCTCGTGTGTGATCCCTTCTCCTGGTCTCACCATAGTTTATTTATTGAATAATGCTACTCTTACCACATTTTGTACATCACATTCTCATACCACCTTATATGGCAGATGAGGTGGACAACCACATCAATTAAATTAGAATAATGCTATTCTTACCACATTTGTATACCACATTCTCATACCACCTTATGTGGCAGATGAGGTGGACAACACATCAATTAAAATTAATTTAAAGTTTTCTTATCTTTTATGATTTATTGACACTTTTTAATTGATGTAATTGTCCACTTCATCTACCACATAAGGTGGTATGAAAATGTGGGATATAAATGTGGTAAGTGTAGCATTACTCATTAAATTAATTTAACATTTTCTTTTCTTTTATAATTTATTGACACTTTTAATTGATGTGGTTGTCCACTTCATATGCCACATAAGGTGGTATGAGAATGTGGTATACAAATGTGGTAAGTGTAGCATTACTCTTATTTATTTATTGAGGGGAAGCTGCAGATTTAGGTATTTATAGTTTTAGAATATTCGAATTAACCCAATAGAATTCGTTATAGTAGCATTTGAAGGTGAGGCAATTTCCCCTCATTTAGGATAATTGGAGAAGTGATGGAACTATAGTTATAAGTTTTGAAGACAACGCAGCACCATCGGGAAAAAGGTCGAGATCAGACAATGAGGAATTCAGCAAAAGATTTTAGTTGCTTTGGTTGGTTCGTGTCTAGACTGTTTTATCCCTTTTTTCTTCTAAAGTTGTTGACAAACACGATTACTCATTTATTTTCTCTACTCTTTAGTTAATCTCAGGTGTTAATACGAAATCTGCTTTTTGCATCAATATCTTTTCTCCTTAAGTTAATGTAGACACGAACTTAAGCCAATGTTTCATTCACATGCAATAGATTTTCTTCTATATTAAAATTTTAAGAAATTTGTTCTTTTTGAAAGTTATAATCAACTGGAACAAAAGTGGGTTAGTTTCCATTACTTAGTAAATAATTCTCAACAAAAAATACAAATTTTTTTTTATCATTATTGGTCAATGAAATACAAAGATTTTAAAATGGAAATTGTAACACCTTTCTCTCTCTCCACAGTATTTACTATTTACTGACCATTTAATAATGTCACAACATTTGGGTTCATCAGTTTTCGTTATTCTTCTTCATATTACCACTCCTCCTCAAGCATGTTGCCTTCAAACACGAAGTGATACCTTTGTGTCACAGTACGAAATCCTAAACCCTAAACCCTATACCTTTTTTCATAGGATTCCAAACAATCGAAATCAGAAAATCCTCCAATACAAGGCTTACAATATTACTATTGTTTGTTTTTTGACTGAAAAACTAATATTTTTTCTTCCAAAAGGAAAATTAATTTTCATTGATTTACATATATAGTCATCCACATTATGAGGAATGATGTTTTAGTTTCCTCCAATATTTTCATGTTTATGTACAATACAAAATTTGTATAGAATGTAAAAGGTGAAGTAGCATTGGGTGTTATGAAAATGCATTGCATTCTCATGAGACAGATGCAGTAACATTTATGTTGGGAAAACGAATTTAAACAGATAGTTGGGAACTAGATATGATACAGTTTTTCATAAAACATTTATGTACATTTTAGTTTCATGAGAAAAGGATTTTTCTTCTGCTTAAGTTCATGAGAAAAAGGTTAATATGACATAAAATATTCCTCCTTTTTGATATTGTAGAATAAACGTGATTGTTAGGTAACTGCATTTCATAAAGATTTTGCTCCTAACTCTCTGTGTAATGGAACAAGATGCGCGAGCTAAAATAAAGAAGGAAAGAAAAAAGCCGTGAATGTATCATGCATAAGCTTTGTCGGCATTATACTTTGTTGGAATACAGGCTTCTCACCTTCCTTGCTTTGCCCAGCAGCATCACACGCTTACCAGATTCCCAGTAAAGCTCCTCAATGTATTGCTTGAGTTCCCATGCATTGTGCTCAACAGATGCCTTCATAAAAGAAAACATATGAAAAGGGAAGACAAATTTCACAAAGTATACGGTGCCGTGATTGCCATAGAGGCCTGGAAAATCAAAGTTCCCATAACTATAGGTGCCACAATGCTAAATGTCGATTGAACAGGGGAGAAGAACAAAGTCCAAAGGAGAAAAAAAATTGTCTTTACCTGGAATAAGCAGATAGACAAATGAGCTAGGTAATGTGTGCTCCCCATTCCTGAAGTATATAGCATGAGATACAAGCAATAGGAATATACAAGAATAGATTAAACAGATATGATTACAAAATTGAACACAGTTCTTGAACAGGTCCAACCATCTAGTGCAGTGGAGCTATTATATTAGCTTGGTACCTTATTCCTGCGAGCAATTCCAAGAATCTTGCTGTACCATCCTCCACACCAGGCATGCCAGGAGCGCGTGGCAACCATCCAATATCGTCAGATGAACCTTGCAATGTTTTCTGTACTCGAGATGCCAGGCTGACAAATGCAAAAATGAAGCTCAACCATGAGAACCTAAAAGAATGAAACAATGAGTTGTAATTAAAAGCAATGAATTATTTGCATTGAGTAAAACAGAATCCAATCTGAACTAAAACTAAAAGAAACTATTTATAGACTCTATGGAATACGAGTCCATCAGTTTGATTGATACAATACTTCTCTTACCTACAAATTCGAAGACGAGCACATCTAACGTACACGACAGAACTTCTCCAACAAGAAATTGCCAATCTCCAAGCAAATTGTAAACCGTGTAATGGTAGTGTCAACCTACATCAAGATGAAGCGACATCACCAATCTAACAATGAAGATGACTAGATTGAGATTTGAGAAATACAAAACAGTTACAGTAGTCATACTTCTGATAAACACTTGTAATTGAAAGGGAAGGAGGTGAAAAAGAAAAAAAGAAAAGAACCCGACCCGCCCGCCTAGACCCGCCTAGCGCCGCCTAGTGCCGCCTAGACCTGCCAAGACCTGCCCAGCAATTTCAGTTACATTGGCAGGCATTCTAGTCTAGTTTATGAATCAAAGCCTTACCAGAGTGACTGAGAAACACTAACATTCTGGAGGCATTAGCAACAAGAAATGCTATTCTTGTTTGGTTCCCGAGAAATGAAAGATCACGACTGACCTGAGCACTGGAAAGTACAAAACTTGAGGTTGAATTTCCTTTGAAGCCAAACAGACAAAACCCAAAACTGAGCAGTTCAAGCTTTTTGCGAAGAACAGTATGTATGAGTATGACCCGAAAAAGGAAATAAGAAACCTTTTCTTTGTTTTTGGGAAGTAAAGAACACAGCGTTTCATCACTCTTCAGTCTCATCCAATTATTGATTAAAATATTTTTCCTGAAATAAAATATCAATTTTACTGTCACCTTATCGATCGGGACAAGCATTCAATAAAAAAAAAAATTTCGCTGACGTTCATTGGTTTTTGCTATCACTTTGTCTTCACTCTGCAAAGCCATCTGGCTTACTTACTGTTTCATTCTCTTAAAATGACCACTATAAAAGTGGAAGTACACTTTGGTTATTAGTTGTTACTCAATTTACACGACTGCCACTGTTCAGTGTTGACCATTATCTGGTTGTGTTTGTTTTCTACTTCTGAGTGGTGCTTCTCGTTTTTGGGCAGGAGTTTGACTTGACAAATGAAAGGTTCCTTGTGCCGGAGATGATCTTCCATCCTGCTGATTTGGGTTTGTCTTATATTCTGGTTCCAAAGTACACACTTTTGGGGTTTTAGTTTGATTCTTGAAACAAATACGACGTATGATTCTTTGTTGTTGAATGAAACATTACAGTATCCTTTTGTGGTTCATGTTGGCTAGGGGTTATTACTTCTGCAAGTTGTTGCTTGATTCATGTAGATTAGCTGATTCTGTAGAATACGATACTGTGTGGCATAATAGGAGGTATTTAGAAATTCTATAACTTGTGTGAACATTGTATGTGATATAGTAATGACTAGCAAAGGTACCCGAGTGATGCTGCGGGTTTTAAAACCTCATCAAATGTATACAAAATCGTGAAAATATGTATGAAAGATGGTATTATTTATAGAGTGGTGATTTCCCCACTCCTTTTTCTCCTATTTTATCCACTTACATTCCTTTTTTAAAACTAAAAAAGGAGTGTAAGTGGATAAAATATGAGTGGGGAAATCATTACCCTATTTATATAGACATGGAGATCCAAATAGTGGCATCATGCTTTGTTTAGCAAGTTACAAAAAAAAAAAAAAAAGACTAATAACATGTTTTATAAGCTGCTTGTCATGTAAAAATATTGACCATATTTTAATAAACCAAGCAGCAATCAAAACATCAAAATATCAGCAATTTTGAGATGTTCATTGTTCAAAAGAGTTTGGACAGGTCCTTGATGTCTATTGGAAGGGGATCTTTCTCTTGATGGCGTTACTATAGAGGTGGCTGCTATTCTTTCTTGTCCTTTGCAGGGGTTTTAACTCTTTTGGTAAAAAATTTGAAAAATGGTAGGTGTTGGTGCATACAAATGGGAAAATTTAGTGAAGACAATGACCATTATTACAGAATTAAGGCCACAAAATCAACTGCACAAACCACAATTTAAATACGCCAAGCATTCTACGAATGTGGTGGGCAAAAGTATAAAAATATGTCATTGCCACAAATTATTAAATACCTATAACAGAATGAAACCAAAAGACCCAGACTTTAATAGAATCACACCAAATACCCATAACAGAATCAGACCATGTGCAAGTTTGTTGTACAAAAGAATAAATTATCTATAGACACCTATGGTCAAAACTGATACATGTATTGCCATTTATAGGCTATGTTAATTTAATGGAGAAGCTATAAAACCAGAAATAACCTATAAACACCTATAGGTTGTACAACCCTAATCAACTTACTGATAGCATCAAGGGAAGCCAAGAGGACCTGTCCGGGAACTATGGCAAAGAATGCATTCCCTGCTTGGGATTTAACCAAAAGTCCTATCACTGATCAAACCGTAACACCAACCCCATCAAGCATAGATTTGCCAAGCTTTGATGCCATTTTTGACAACTACTATCACTGAATTAGCAAAATAAAGTTGAAAGAACTGATAAGAAAAAAAAAAAATTAATATGTTATAACTTATAACCATAAAAACTTAAAAAGAAATTCATATAGTCCTCAGGGGAACCTTTCAAATTGATTCAGTATGAAATCTAACATAAAAAAATCATAAGATAAACCTAACCTCCAACATAAAATACCCATTTCATATGAGATTTCCTTCCCTGTTTCTGCTTCATGTCACCTATATACCAAAGAAAAGATATCAAGAGAAATATCATTTTAAGCACAACTATGAAGGAAGAAACACATTCATTGTCCACATCTCAATTGGGTTTATTTATAAATTTGTATAAAAATAAACCACAACTAATCCTAAAATTAAGGATTTAAAGTAACAAATTTATAATAAAGATCTAAAAAAAAAAAAAGTTAAAACTTAAAATGGAACCAAGTGAAAGAAGAGAAAACTACCAAAGGCTATGGTGGAGCATAAAGCATTTAAGTTTTTGAGAGGAATGTGCAGAGAAATAGGTTTTCATAATATTCGAGAGGATGCCTTTGACGCAGCCTCCTTCACATCTGCCGCCAAAGCCAAACATCAAATACAAAATACGATTCAAATGATCGAAACAAAATTAGAAAAAAGCGAAATAAATGTGATAAAAGAGTGACACTTTGGGGTCAAAGGTGGAGACCTTTGGCAACAAATTGGATTTCGCTAGGAGGAGAGTTGAGAAGGAACCACTTCCCCACCGCAAAAAAACATTGACTACATTAGACACTGACAAATAATCAAAATGGGTACAAATTTATTAATTCGAAAAAAATAAAGTATAAACGGTAGAGAGAACAAACCTCATTAATGGCAAGCACTTGGCCATTGCTCTTCTTGACCTTCTTCAGCTTCCTCATGAAATACCTAAGCCAAACAAATCAATCAACAACATTAAGTTTAACCCAAAATTCACCAATGAACATTTGGGATCACAAAAGCCGAGCTAAGGCTAAGGATTATTCCAGAACTTGGACTTGGCGTGAACCTCATTTGTGGTCCAGAGCTTCATTCGGTAAATCTTGGGGTGCTCATTAGATGCCGTAGGTAGCTTCCTCCCAACAACCTGGTACTGGTGGAACTGCAACACAAAAAAGACACCATTAATTGCAGCTTTACCATTTGACATGCCCTAAGAGAAATATATCACACAAAAACAAATACCAAATTAAATGGAACCTAAGAAACTGTGAAGATAATTTCTAGATATTTGTTTACCAATTTTCATAGAACAATCCTCCACTTAAACTGACTGTTTACAACAATACTAAGAATTTGTATGCATATTACGTATGCAATATTTGGCTAATCCATTTCACCAGCAACCATATATTTAACTAAATAAACTATGTCTAAAACCAAATGGGTATTCTTCCAGAATAAAACCAACCTTCTCGAAGCATACCCATCTAAGTTATAATATGCAGTGGAAAAAGAATAAAAAGAACCCCTTAGCATCCCAGTACCCTAACATGGAAAAAAGAAGCATAATTTAGAATTCTGTAACAGAAATTGTCTCATTAAATTAAATAGAAATAAAAAACAGTGAATTTAAGGCTGAGATGTAATCAACTTATTGCAAAAAAAAAATTGAGGGTGAGAGAACGATTGACAAACCTCTTTGCTAGGCCAAATGCGAAACCCTACTTCGTTTTTTCTTGCAGCACCTTCAAAATCAGTCAACATTCTGTGTTGTTCTACATAAGATATTTACGAACACAGAACGTCATAAAATACCTTTATTGTAAATTTCTTCAACACAAAAAATCCAGAACCAAAATATTTGACGAAATTCTATTAAAAGAAAAAAAAACTGAAATTAAAGAGGGGAGAGAGAACATTGTATCCCGCAACTTCTGTACATATACACTGGCTTTGTCCCACAACAGCAGCTAGGGCAATGGCAAGCCTTTATTCATGCACAAACAGTCACCTGCCATTACCAATTCAAAAGCCTGTTCAAACCCATCACAGGGGAGAAATACAATCAAAATTAATAAAAGGGAAAGAAATTGAAATACAGTGGAGGCGATTAAAAGATGCAAACCTTGTTTCTATTTCAAAGTCCACGAATAGATGTAATTGCACCATTTTGTTGTAGTCCTGCAATGCACATAGTCATCAACTTCACCCAAGCAACTCCGCATGCCAATTCAAATCCACCATGAACCAATCCATAAGCTCAAACATAGAACCCGATCATATGATAAACCATCACACAAACGGCTTAATTTTGGTCCAAAAGGGCAATTCGAGGATATGATTCTTACCTGAAATGCTTTGTTGAGGTTGCAAAATCACCTTTTTCCTCATGCTCAAACCCTTCAACAACCAAAAAACAATGGAAGGAAATTTGAAAGAACAAAGGCACCAAATTTTCAATCCAACATAATTATAGAACAAAGACTCAAACTTTTTCCTTTATGTCCTTGAGTTTCCACAGAAACACAAGTGATTTCAATAAAAAGTACTAATGTTATTAAGTGGGTGACCTCAAATTCTCTTAAAAGCATAATTATTGAACTCCTACCCACAAAACAACAGTAAAATGTTTAAAAAGATGAAATTTTCTGTTTTTTTCTTGCATTTTCTAAGCAAACAAACAGAGAGTAAGTAGGTTTCTACATATTTTAGACAGTGTTAAATCAGATTTTTTGTTTGAATAATCTTATATTAAACCAACCATCTTTACCTTCCAGCTGAGAGACTGGTCAATTAGTTCAGAATATCAGCTCCTAATCATATGTTCTTTTAGATGCAAACAGATATTAAGCTCCTAGGGTTCATTATCCACATGCTCAAATAGAGAGAGACAGAGAGATCTTGACTGCTTAATAATTTTTTGGGCAAGGAATCAAAGGATTGAACAGCACTCTCAGAAACCTATTAGCAAGCCATTAATCCGTTAAAAAGTTAAGGGATGCAAACCTGAAGAGAAAAGATGGAAGAACTTGCAGATCGAAAATCTCCCAGACGAACGTTGCACAGAGGATGAAAGATGGCTGAACCAACGAATGAGCAGATGAGATGAGATGAAGATCAAACGAACGGTGAGATTCGCAAGGCGCCAGCCCAAATGGAAATCTACGGCCTCAAAGGAATCCCGAAGACCGAAGCCGTGCTTTCCATGGCTGCCCCTCAACCAGCCCAACCAAGCTGGTTCGAAGCGGACGATCGTTCTGTGGAAACGAAACAGTGGGGAGAGTTAGGGCCCGTTCGGTATCATTTTCAAGGGCCATTTTCTGTTTTCAAGTGAAAACGTGTTCGGTGGGTTATTTTGAGAAACAAGCTGAAATTGTTTTCTGAGAATGAAAATGAAAGTATGAATAAATGTTGAAAACGCCAGAAAGTCGTTTTCGTTTTCGGCGTTTTTGTTTTCAGTCTCTCTGAATCAAAGCCAACTCTCCTCCGTCACTTGAGCAAACAATCCAATCAAATTATATCCAAAACAATCAAATCTTCTCCTTCCAACCATAATCAGCCCCAAAATTTCAAGAAAAAAAAAAACTCATAATCACACAAATCTGCAACTAAGAAAAAAAGACAGAGAGGAAGAAGAAAAGAAAAAAAAGGGGAAGAACAAGAAGAGAAAGAATCAGAAAGAGGGAGAAGAAGGGAAATGGGGAGAGAGAGAGTTGCAGAGGGAGAGATGAGAGAACCAGCCACCACATACCCAGCTCAACCACCATCACCACCAAATCTAACCACCACAACCATTAATTAGTGGAACTAGAGAGGTGGGTTGATGGGATTGTTAAGAACTAGAAATTCGAAAGCTAAAGAGTGGAAAAGTCTGAGAGAATGTTCACCTTTCATTGACTCCAAAGACTGGCATAAATAGCCATACAAGAAATAAGTAATCAGAAAAATAAGCAACAAAATATCCCACGTCTAACAACCCTAGACTATTGGGATTCTCCTAAAGATTAGGTCAAACACTAACCATGTTTCCTGACAAATAGGGATTATTAGCAGAAGCAAATTAACTAAATAAATCAAATAACAATAATGGATAAATATCCAACATTCCCTCCCTTAAACTGAATGCTATTCAAGCAATCAGTTTACAGTAGAACCTGACCAAACTCCTAGTAGACCACGCAGCTTCTCAAATGCTTCTAGCTTCAGAGGCTTGGTCAATATGTCTGCAATCTGATCTTGACTTTGACAATGAACTAGATCAACAACACCTGCCTTTGTAAGATCACGAAGAAAATGAAACCTGACATCAATGTGCTTGCTTCTTCCATGCAGCACTGGATTCTTGGAAAGTTTGATCGTTGAACTGTTATCACAGTAGATCAGTGTAGGCTTCTTCTGAATGCAATGTAATTCCTCAAGTATTCTTCTTAACCATACAGCCTGACAAGCACAAGAAGCAGCTGCTATGAACTCAGCTTCGGTTGTAGACAAAGTGACAACTTGCTGCTTCTTTGAAGACCATGAAACAGCCCCTGAACTTAACATGAACACATGACCAGATGTGCTCTTTCTATCTTCCAAATCCCCAGCATAATCACTGTCACTAAATCCCAATAACTCATTTCTTTTTCCCTTCTTATAAAACAGCCTATAATCCACAGTACCTTTCAAATAGCGGAGCACTCTTTTTGCAGCCAGATAATGAAGTTCAGTTGGTTTCTCCATAAACCTGCTAAGGAGACTAACAACATACATTATGTCTGGTCGA